GTATGTCCTTATTTGTGTTTAAATGGTATTTTTTCCCAGATGCTGGTGGCAGGAGGAGACACAGCTGGTGACGGCAGCCGTCATCGCCAGTTCTTTTGACAGCTCGGCATATAAAAGCCCTGTGTAATAAAAGAAGTGTGGAGCATGATTTGATGGGCCATCAGTAAAACGTTTTGCTACTTAAAAGGTTAAAATCTTGAAGCATATCTGTTTTGCTGTGTTCGTTTTACTATATTCGGAGGGTGCAGATGTCAGTAATGTATGTGTCTTGCTGTCAGCAAACCCCGAGAACATTACATCTCTTTTATGTCAAGTTAACCGTCAATATGGCAGCAATGAATATTCAATACAGTTACAATGATGGCCACTGATGTCTTGGCCCCACTGGCAACAGCTCTCAGAGAAACAGCTCTAATGTTACATCGCTGCCATTCTGCAAAGAGTGGCCATTATGCACATTATGTACAGCACAGACACAGATACACACACATCTATACACACACAAAAGCTGAGTCACACTGTCAGAATATCTAAGTTGTACCAGTATTCTAAGATGAGGAAGAAAAAGAAAAGAAAGACACAGAAAGAAAGATAACTTAGCACAGTCCTTATTTATTTTGTAAAGTTAGAGCAAAGAGACAAACTAAAAAAAAGAGCTCATTTTTATTATTATTTAATTATATACTGCATCTGTTTGCTTACTCTGTTAAAACAATTTAGTGGGGTAGATTGAGTTAAAATGATGTTTGATGCAGGCATTAAATAGGGTGGGTGATAGTAGTGGACCAAGCAGAAGTGATAACACAATGAGACTAACCTATATAAATAAAGTTTGAATGAATGAATGATTCTAGAATATGGCCTTTAGGGGCACTTTGCCACCCGTGTTAACAATGACTCTTGGCTTGAACAACACAGTGGACATTTATGTCAGAAGCATTTGTAATATGTCCCCCAGAAAATTTTGAATAAAGTAGATGCCTTTTCCTGCATTCTGATGTACTTTAAGAGTTTTTTTAAACATCTATGTGTACCCACATAAGTAAACACTTGATTCAATAATTATTTTAGAGATCATGGTACAACAAGAAGTAACCTGACCAACAGCTCTCCTTGTGTGAGTAGAGCATGAATTAACCTGACCAACAGCTCTCCTTGTGTGAGTAGAGCATGCTCCGCTTCTCTCATGCATCCTAACACTCCCCCTTCACATATTCCATATTTATTTCAAAATTATTCACCAGTTTGGTGAATCAAAGGTTTGAGAACTGAGTTTCCTTACAAAACCTTAATGATGGTTTCTAAAATGTTCAGGGGTGCTAAGTTCAAATGTATGGGTTCTTGAGCACCCCCAAAAAGAGGCTAAAATCACCACTGGGACCAAGTGTGTGTGTGCATTAAAATATCAAGCCATCTAATTATCCTGTTGTGGTTCCTTATTACAAAACTAGTGGGCATGTGCATGAGTACATCAAGCCACCCTGACAACCAAAGCGGTTCATAATGTTCATGCAGTCGTATGCTTTGGTCTCTGTACAAATCAAAGAGAGAAAAAGACCCCTTCTTTACATTTTGAAACTTTTCAGTTTCTGTTCAGTAAAACTGGTTCAAAACAATGGTTTTCTACCTTGTTGGCAATTAAAGTGTGCAAGTAACATTTTCCAGACAGTGAAGAATGTCTGAAGTTTTCGTTTATGGAATTTCCACTGATCTTACATAAAAGCTCCCATTTGCGTGAGATTCTTTGTCCATGTTCATGTTCTGCTCTCAGTTTCCTGTTTGTTGTGTATTTGGATGTGAGTTTTGAATCATGGAATCATTATCCTGTCATCATCTTTTCATCTGCAGCTTTTTCCAAAGAAAGACTGATTTTTTTTCCTTCAGAATGTGTTCATATTTTGTTTCTTATTTGTGTTATATCAAACCTGATAGGATTCATTTGAAAATTATGCTATCAACCCATTTTTTTAATTTATTTTTTGTTCAGAGTGAGAGAAGACTTTCTACTGTTGGCTTTTTGTTCAAGATTAACAATTTCGAATGCACACAAACAGCAGCGTTTTCTATTTGCTTTTCCAACACTTCTCATATGACTTCTCTAAATGTTTTTATAGTCATCAAAACAGCACTTTGAACCCCTCCATTAATGCTAACCCTTATTGCTTTGTTACACTCTGACCTCACAAGGCATCACTGTCAAAATATCTGTATCCTTTAAATAGCAAAGTATCTATGAGTTTTATTAATAGATTTGATCTCCACACTGAATGATGACCCCACTATAATGTTTATAAAAATCTGGCACAATGTGAATGACCTTTGAGGGTCTTGCAAGGTTTTTAGAGGTATATTAGGAACACAGTGTGTGCAGAATGCATAGAACAACTTTAGTGAAGTTGTGGTGGTTTATCTCAAATGGCTGTAACTACTGCAATGACAGCATTTGCAAGAGAGCCTCTAAATTGTTTACGGGAGTTTTCACATAAATCACAGAGTTTTGCTTAAATTTTAAATGGGTTAAAAAATTGTGCTGCAAATTTTCTCTGAAGATATTCTCAGAGTTCTTGCAGGAATCTCAAACGCTTCCCTTTTAAGTTTCTGTACTTCTAAAGCACAAAGACTGTATTATGAGACATGCACAGCAGCTCTGACAGAAAATACATGGAAATGGGTTGTGATTTAGTAAATGTGGCTATTAAAAATCATCTTCATATCACCCTGCCTGCTGGAAAGCAAACACTCAGAATTCATTGAAAAGGCCACAAAAATTGCTTATTTCCCTACAGTTTCAGTTATTTTAAGCAGGACTGGCCATGCTGTCCTCATGCTTACGATTCCATCCCTTCTACTTTTTTCTGTTATGTTAATGTGACATGAACTTCCATATTGCAGCTGCACACTGGCAGGGCTCTAGAGAGAGTCTGTGGTGAGGTGATATTGTAATCATGAAGTACTGTATATGATGGTATAATCATAAGAAAAGGTAATATTGTATTCATGATGGCAGAAATCTAGATATATCGTAGATATATTGTTCTAGAATTGTGCCACTCAAGGTGGCTGCATGTTTAAGTAGCTGTCACTTTCATTCAGAGATATTGCTTTTGAAAACGTTATTTCCTCTCTTTTTTTTGGGATGTAAATAGCTTCTTTTTTTTTTTTTTTTTTTGATGATTATTTCCTCTGATATGAAATGCTGTGCAGCTAGAAGGATTTTTACTGAAACCTTTTAACATTTGGACATTTGTTATGATGCATAACCATGACAACAAGGTGATTTTACAACCTGGAGCACCTGAGTAACACCTCAAAGCTCAAATAATACCTCAAATACAGCCACAAATCCCAAATGAGTTGTACAGGAGGTGCCATGGATGCATCGCCATCTACCTGGTGGAGATGCTTGAGTGAGAGGCTGCTGAGATCCTTAGCGCTGGCATGAAATGTGACTCACAACAACAAGAAGACCAGGGTCATCCCCCAATGCCTGCAGCTGGATGTCTGCAATGATGAGTAGCTCAACAAGCTGCTGAGAGAAGTGGCCCACGCTCAGGGAGGAGTTCTGCCCAACATCCAGGTGGTCCTGCTGTCCAGGAGGACCGATAGGCTTGCTGGGTCCAGGTGAATGGATCGTCATCTGCAGCCAGTTTCTTCAGATCCGCTGTGGTACAGACTGCTGCAGATCCTTCCTACCCACAGCCATCAGCATCTATAATATATATATAAAGTATTTTGAATTTGAACTGAATATTTAAAGTGTGGTGAGGTCAAATGAGAATAACTCAGGGATGCTATATACATGTACTATATATATATAGGACCTCATTCAGGCCCAATATTTTTCTTTCTGTGGGTGGTGAATAAATCCCCAAGGCTACAAAAAGGGTTCATGTAAGAAAACCACAATCAGCCCACATGAACTCTTTAAATGCATTAGGTAGATGATTAGACAAAAGAGGGCTTTAAAATCGGCTTTACTTCTTAACTGTACACCCCCACATGTCAGGGGTATTTACTACTTTTATGGCCTTTACGCATAGACCATGGGTATACAACAGAATAAAAATGTTTAATGTATAAGATAATTGATTTATTTATTTTTTTTACTTTACTTTAAAGGAATCATAAACCTTTTTTTTCATATTGCAGACCATTACCCCTGTAATAGTGGACTTCAGTGGCCCTCTTTAGCTAATTTGCCTTTTATAGTGGGATTTGTTTCCCCTCACCTTCTCATAAAAGCAGAAAACAAGCACACTCTCACACATGAGTTCACATATTTTCATATGAAACACTCCCTGGTGAAAAAAAAAGAATAGATCAAATGCTGATTCATTTGAGTGAAGATGTTTAAGTAGGTCTTGTGGTTATCTTCTATCCATTTTAGCCTTCATGACCTGAAAATATGGAGCTGGATTCAAAAGCAACATTAAATACTCAGCTTAATAGTACAATTAGTAAGAGACTGTGGCTCCAAAATGATTTGATAATTTCTTCCTTCTACTTGTTCCAGACTATTAGTGTCACCCGCTTTCTTTGACTAATGGTTTTTTAAAGCTTTTATTGTTTTTATTTCTCTGCCAAAACTGTTAAATCAGTATCTTACTGAGGATATTTCTAACCTAGCATCCTTTTCCAAGCTGTATCAATATCAGTGTTACAACATGTAAGTTATTCGGACAGGAATCATTCTGTCCCTTTGTGTTAAAATGGTGTGTTTTTCTCTCATCCTGGCAGTTGAAGGAATCAGCATTCTATTTCTTCACAAATCATCCAAAAAACACATTTTAAAAAGACGCGTATGTGGTTATATTGCATTCCACTGAGAATTGAATAGGTATTGAAAACCTTCTCGGTGATGGATGAAAGTCATTTCTTTCTTAAAAAGGCCATCTCTATGATGTATTTTTTTTATTTTTTATGTTGAAGCAATCTTTATCCTAACGTATATTTTTTTCTTCCTTCCTCTTTTCCTGCCTCCCTTCTTTTTCCTCTCACAGAGGATGAGCTGCAGCTACCTGCTCTGCACCATCCTGCTTTTTGTGGCTGTACTGCTGGCTGTCACAGTGACCGGCACCATTCTTTTTATGAATCACTACCAGGCCCCGCCCTTGTCCGATGGCCTACCACACATTTCTACCAATCAGGATGAAGCAAATGCCCTGGTCACCGTCGAGAGAGGCGACGGTTCTCGCATCAACATCTTCATTGACCCCAACTGTCCTGATTACAACAGCAACTTCATACGGCTGGAGGGTGTTCAGACCTCACTGCTTCACTCACTGACTGACCACGACTCTGACCTGAAGTCAGTGAAAGGCCAGGACCGGGCTCTGCTCGTGAGTCTGGCTGAGGAGGTGGCCAAGCTGTCAGCGCATGCCGGGCAACTGAAAATGGACTATGAGTCTCTGCGCAGAGGGCAGAGTAATCTTGGTCAAGACCTGAACACGCTCCAGACAGAACAGGGACGCCTCATACAGGTGAGATACCTACCCGCATGCAAAAACTTGATAAATATCTGGAAATATATTCAGCTGTTTTACTTGAAAAGATAAAATAAAAAGTAGTTTGCATATAAAAGTTCAGTAAATAAACAGGGTTTATCCTACTGACACATTCAATGGTAAAGTGACTTTAGAAGTGCAGAGTTATGGATGTCTGGAACCATTTTATATGCAGTCTAGTAGACCAGGATACCATCTAATTCTAAAGGTTAAGAGATAATTAGTGGGAGAGACGAGAACAAAATACATTTCCTCAAACTAATCTGTTCGCCATTTGTCGACTTTCCACCCCCTGTTCCTGATATTTGCTGAGATGGTAGATCGTTAGAACTATTTTTAGACAATCCTATATGAACTTTTGCAGGAGGAATACGCTTCACTTCGGTAGAGCTTGTTAGCCACGTATGATTACGTGTTTTAAAATCCTTTCTACGTGGTAAAAACGTGACAAAATCAAACAATTCTGAAGAAGTCAATCCTTGAGATGTGTACAACAGACATGAATTGTTTTATATTCTCTCCTATGCATTGTTTTTATATTAGAGGACGGAGGTAAGCATGGTGTATGTTATGTTGATGTGGTATAACCTTCTTGTTTTCATCAGTGTATAGTTTTGTTCATACCTGTGTTAGTGCTGAATTGTCTCTGTGGCGTTCAGCACCATCTTCTTGGTTCAGTTCTTGTTGCATCTTTCCTTGAGGTAATGGACACATCCCATTCTTCTGTAAGCTTCGAGCCATGATGCCATCTAACATGCTTTAGGTCTTCTTTTTATTCCTAGTGCTGTCTGTGTTGATCTATTTTAGAATATCTTAGTCCAGATCCATGTTCATGGAAAGAATTTCAGGTAAAACAAAAATAACGTTGGTCCTAGTAAAGAACAAACTGAGTGACTAGAAAGAGTACACAAGCAATACAGAATAAATGTTGTTTGACTGTTGGTACTCTTACAACGCTGCATACTACACTTGGGCAACGTATAAGTACCCTGCAGCAACTGCATTGTCAACAATGCTGTATATACAGTATGCTAACAAAACAAATGGATATACCACTGACACACAACTCTAATGCGATAGACAGGAAATACAAAGTACAAGCAATCACACTGCCAAGTACAGACCCCAGTACCATGCCATAGCATATCATCAGATTGTGGAATTTTACTTTTGCTATGTAAGCTTTGTTAATCTGATGCATGTGTGAGGTATTTGACATGTTCAAGTTGCTCCGCTCATGCTACAGAATATAATACCTTGACCAACAAACCTATGGCAAGGTGTTACCAGAGATTATGCTACATGTGCTAGAGTATCGTATATGTGATGAGGTGATGGTATTTTTCTACAGTCAGATATCTGATAAAAGCTCAAAGCAAATACAAAAATGTGAGATTGGGGTGTTACCATAATGCTGCTGCACTTAACCTTTCCACTGTCCATGGGTCATAATGACCCCTAAAACTTCAGCAGGACGTTTAAGTAAATACTGTTATCATTTGCTGTTGTTTGCTAAACTGAAACCTTTCTGAATGCATAAAAAAAATGCAATAATGCAGGAAAAGTCCTTCTCAGTCTTCCTTTATTCCATCATGGTGCCAATCCGTCAGTGAGTTGGTTCTCACTTGATTATCAGCTGCTTGTTTTTGTTCCTCAACAAAAGAGAGGCCACGTTAAAGACCAACATGTTGTAAACTGCTGTTCCATTTAAACTTTTAACAAAACAGTCAGTGTGACTTTTACTGTTTGCTCGTGCCATTTCTGTCCCTGATCCCTGGTGGTGACTGCTAATTAATAAAAGCAACTACACTGAAGCCATTGTGGAGCACTGACAATCAGTCATTGCTTTAAGTACAGTATGGAGAGGCTCGGGAGGTGGATTGTGAAACACCTATCAATATTTATCGATTGCAAAGCCACCTAAGGATGTGTGACAGCTCATTGGAGTTGAACTTTCTTTTTTTATTTAGTCCCTTTCTTCTCCTTGCTGCAAATTCAAGCCATGATCATTCCCTCAGTCAATGCCAACTGGAGCATGTCAGTTCTCCACTGTAATCTCCCAGTAACAGCTAAATTAAAGTGCAAATAGGGCTCACGTTACACAGGCTTGTGTTCCACTAAGTAAAACTCGTTCTGTCTAATGTTTGAAGAGGAGGTCAGTGGGGAAGAAATGCCCATCATGTTTCCAGAAACCCTACAAGTTGCACATTAACTCAGTAAGATAGAATAATGTTTCCCATGATGTCTAAGCCAGACTCCACATTGGATAAAAACATAGTTGGACTCCCTTTAGCTTTGTGCTGTCTACACTGATTTATTGATGATACATTTCCTAAATGTGTGTGGAAATTATTCACCTGCATGCTCTTGTAATCTTGTCATACCAGCCACAGTCTGTGCTGTGTCACAAGTAGATTGTATTGCTGCCAGCTAAAAAAAAAAAAAATATATATATATATACATATATATATATATATATATATATATATAAATCGTCTGAAACAATTGAATTTATACCTCTTCCTCTAGTTTTTTCTTAAATCCAGACCCCCTAGAGCTTGTTGATCAACAATCTTTTGAAAACCATCAAGCACACCCGGGGTCTCCGTGCCTGTGGGGTAAGAAACCGCACATGCTGACTGAGTGCACAGTAAAAAGCAGTGAGTGGGTCCACTTGCTTTGATACCGTTAATGCATGTGGTGGATAGTTGATGGCATAGTACACCGGGCAGGGTAAGTGGAGGTGGTACCAGCAGCTCAGATACTCCAGGTGATTGATTTCCTCAGTGGAGGCAAAACATGTGGTGCGCACATCCGCTGTTTCTGCTTGACACCAAGGTGTGACTGTGTGATCTATGGGACACCTGTGGCCGCGACTTCTGATTTATCGGACGGCATAGCAGGCTGCACCAGTGTTAGTGTTGACTCTTTGTGTACTGCAGCCCCCATCCAAACCCCCACCTCTCTCTACACACACACAAGCCATCACCAAAAAAACTGCCTCATAGGGAGACATCCTCCCGTTTCCCCTGAGGTGGTGTGTAGGAGAATCTGATTGCAGTGGGTTTAGAACCAATCTGTTTTGATTATTCAAAAACTGACATATTCATTTTTCACAGCGAGTGTTTGCTGCCTCAAATAGAAGAGCTCCTACATATTTGCATTTAAATAAATCACCCTGACAGAAGAGACAACTTCCAGCTGATGGTCAAGTTTCAAAGTGATGTGTAAGATAAAGCACGTCGCTAAATGCCAGGGCGGTGTTTAATGCTTTTTTTTTTTCTTCATCTAATCTGAAATTTTAAATCCAGCATTGCTGAAATAGCACTTCACATTTTTTTATGTTGACATAATATCTCCTGTAATCAACACATTTTTATTATGATAAAGTATTAGAATGCTTAAAATGATTTATTTTCCTACTCTGTTTTAAAGGTTTATTATATATTGACAACAATGCAGTCTAGGAGTGTGTTTATCCTCCTCTTTAAGTTGCCATTAAATATTATAGACCCAACACTACAATAAACCTGGAGGAGTGTGTTCAGCTATCTGTTCAGATTCACAAGTATAAGTTGCAGGTCTAGTCTATAAGATAATTTTATCACCCTAAATGAGTTCGTAGCTTAGGTCTTATCTGAAGCAGGTCACTGAAGGCTTTAATTTGTGTATCTGCACATGTATTCATACTGAACCGTCACATTTCTGACATCCAGGTCTGGTGCGTGCAATCAGACAAGAATACATTAGTCACAGGCAATCAAGTCTCTCATCTAGAAGAGGACACACATGTTTTTTTAATTGCTTTTTGCTAACTGCCACAACAAAACAGGAGTGCAGAAAGATATCATCTAAAGCACTCAACATCAAAGCAAGGCGAGACTGTCTAATTCAGATGGCACGCAGGAGCTTGAAGACCTGCTTGTTCGTTTCAAATCAGGTGATTGGAAAAGTTTGCCATGACAGCGGCAGAGAGAGAGAAGTGGACATGAGGAAGGACAAAAGAAATAAACATGGTTTATAAATTCTGGTTTCTAATAAACAGTTTTGAACATGCACGGGATGCGTAAAAAGCTTCAGTCATGTATGAAAACACCAGAAGCGCTCACATAGCTGAGAGGCTACGTTTGAGTGTTTATATGATACATATTGAATTTGTTGTAGTGAAACGTTATTCAGCTCAGTATTGCCATTATTTGCATGAAGCTTAGACTTGACTCAAACTCCTCTGTGTATTATTTACTTTAAAATATATGTTTTTTAGTGTTGAATTTTATTAAACTTTTTGTTTGACACATAAAATGCAAAAAAATACAGTTAAAATTGAAAGAGCCAGACAATACAGTTTGAGTTTTTGCTTTATAGCAAGTCTACAAATTCTACTTTATTGTAGATGATCTGGTAAAGCATATATACATACATACACACACACATATATGTATATATATATATATATATATATATACATATATATATAAAGGATAATGTTATTTTTATAATTTATGCTTCTGAGAATGTTATTGTCTGTTTAAAACAGCTAAATAAATGAAAAAAAAAAAACTAATAATTAGGCTTCTTAAATTTAATCCTATTGCACAAAAACCCATTTCAAAATCAGAAAGATGTGGACTTCAGTACCTTAGAGGTATAAGAGTTATGTTTATGAAGGTAAGTTGCATTTTGCAGGGTTCATACGAAACAAACAACAAAAAAAGGAAATTGATGTTCTCTTTGTTAAGTGAGAGCCAGCCAGTGATGTAACCAGGATTTGTGGGCCCACGTTGTACCAATGAGCATCTAATGGACAAACCACAACCAGCAAACCTGAAATACAAGTTGAACCAACAAAGGCAGATGTAATCTCAACAGATTTTATATGTCCTTCGATGGCGGGACATATCGTGGTACAACCTCCGTCCGTCTGTCCATAAATTTTATTTTTCCCACCCATTACTACCAGTACTGATCCTCTAAAG